TGGTACTATCTTTATGATCGATTCACTTCGGAGCACTCCGATGCGTCATTTGTTAATCACATCATTGTTTAGCAGGTTAGTTTTTAGAATGTTTGTGTTGTCATTCATATATGTATTGGCTTTTTATGGTTTATGAATTATTAAAAGATTATTATTGAATTATATTGTATTATTTTTTCTAATCATATTTTATTTAACTAAAGTGTGTTCAGAAACATGCTCAATGATGGTGAAAGCAGAAAGAAAGTGATTTGGAAACAAATGAAAGTACATACATATTTTTTCATTAAGTGTCTAACTATGTTTCTCTATATATGTGAATTGATGTTAATGACTTAATGTGTATAAAAATGTCAATATATATATATATATATATATATATGTGTGTGTGTGTGTGTGTGTGTGTGTGTGTGTGTGTGTTAGTGTGCAAAACAAACATGCGGTTTGGAGTGTGGATTCTACGTGATGAAATTCATATACGACACAGTTAAATATATCACGAGTAGTCATGATTTGGAGCAAGTAAATATCATTACTAATTTTCCAATCATTTTAATTTCTTTTCCTATGTTAATTGTACATTTATACACATGGTCTTTTTCAAGTGATGACATAGCTGAAGTTCATGATGACGTCGCCATATAAGTTTGTGATAATTTGTTGTGAATCGTACAATAGTGATATCTTTGCTATAAAACCGTGTTTTGTATTGTACTCATTGTGTATTAATTTTGTGGTGTATGACTTAGTTCTTTTGAAACTACGAATTTGATTTATTTTGATAAATGTGAAGTTATTTTGTAGGCAGGTTTTACTTTTATGCAAAATATAAATTTTTGTACATTTGAGTAGTATACACAAAAAAATTAAAATATTGTTTGTTGCGGTCGTGAACCGCAGCAATTAGGAAATTTCGAATTTTTAAAAATGCTATTTGATGCGGCCGCGAACCACAACAATAAGTCAATTTTTTCATTTTTTAAATTATCTATTTGCTGCGGTTTCGAACGGCCACAAATACTTTTTCCTACTATTTGAAGCGCTGCCAATTGTTGCGGTTCAAAACCGCAACAACTAGCATTTTTTCTTGTAGTGACATGGCGGTGAAGCTCTTTGCACTGAAGTTGAAGTAAAATACTTTGGTGAAGCTCCGCAGTCCGCACTGTTAAGAACCCCTTCCACGGAACAACATTGTGCCACCAGCAAGGCTACAAGCAACGTACACGAAGGTTAGAGATGGACAATCCATTTTATTTGGCACTGCACCCTCACCGCGCTAGAGAAATCTTCCTTCCAGATCTAATTTTCAAATTAGTCAACCATGGGAAGGATATAACTAGTTCTGCGCATGCGAGGCTCCAATGTAAGAAAATTGAAAACAAGGTGGATATTTTGTTGTAATTTTACAGCAAAGTCTTAAGAGTGTTTTTGTAATTTATCAAAATATTATATCACAAATCACTTCTTTATCAAACACTTCAATTGTAACTTTTTAATTAAAATAACTTCTACTCCCTCCGAATCTATTTACTTGTCTCGCTTTCCCTTTCGGGACGTATAAAAAAATGTATCATTTCTTTTTTTAGACATGGACCCCACCACCTTTTAACATCCCATCATTAAATTTTTATATTTTCCATTTTTGTTTTCACTTACCCCATTATTCCTCCCCATTAAATCCCATCCCACCCAACCATATCATCCGTCCCACCCGTCCCCATTAATTCGGCCATTTATCACCCCATATCTCGAAGCATCCGTCTCTCTCTTTCAAACCATCTCTCTGTATCTCTGGTTTATCTCTATCTTCGTCGCTTGGGTTTTCTCTTATACGCCTTCCGTTTGTCCCGGCCTTCTTCTGGTTTTTCTCTCAATCCAGCCTAGCCTCACAGCCTACTCTTCATTCTGGTTGTGTTGTCTGCCACCTTATCCCAGCCCGGTTTCTCATCTCTGACCTACGAATCCCCTGTTCCTTTGCATGGATCCGTATGACACCGATTCTGAACCGATACTGCTTGAACAAGGGCTTAACGAAGGATGTCCCTCACCTCCTTCAGAGAAATCAAAGGAAGGCCCTGTTTTGAGTGATGTTGCCATTCGCCTAGCGGGTCCGGCAGCTGACTCGGATTTGGAGTCCCGAAGCACCGATTATCCAGGCTGGACAACTACGTTTGAAACTGACCCTGGGTGGCCTCTCCGGAGATTATTTGGGTCTGATTTGGTGGAGGATAGCTCTTCCGGGTTTGGCGACACAGATTCCGGTGAGGAGAAGGTGAACTCGAAGGGCTAGACCATGGGATGAATTTCGTGTGGATTTTCTGTAAGGGGTGTATTCCTAGTCTCTATTATTTATTTGTGCATGATTGTGTGGCCATATTCCTAATCTGTATTGTTGAATTACTCCATTGTTATTGACAACATGATTTTGATATTAAGAAATTATTGAATTAAGTGTGTCCAAAATTTGGGGTAATACATTGTTACATCAAAAAATAAAGACCTACTCCTCTATGCAAAATTATGGAGTATTTATACATGGTCTTGCAAAAAAAAAATTGTGTTACCGCACTTTAACAACAAAAGTCAAAACTGCCAGTGTGTACCCCTTTTGTAAACTGGTCCATTTTGTTATGCATCAACCATGGCTCCACTCCTAGTTGCTCCATTGTTCCTTGTTGCAAGTAGTTCATACATTCCCACACTAGTAGTGGGGGAGGAGCCAATGAAAGTGGCAGCATGTTAAGCCTTTGTAATGACTTCTTGTCTATGTGAACTTGGTCATATGCATTGCCCCCCCCCCCCCCCCCAACCTTCATTACTTCAATCATGCATAACTGTAAGCTTAGAAATACATGATTCAAGGAATGTGGGTCGTATGCAATGAATGAATCCTTGCAGTTCTGGACAAGTTCAGAGAAATTTGTTGTTGAGCATTTATCCTTTAAAGATTGAATAGCCCGAAATAGGCCCAAATCAAGGATATTCATATCCGGGCTATTTGGTGGTTGGTTGATTAATTGCACATCCCTTCCCATCTGGTCAACTGCCAATCTGACTTCATTATCATCTCCCTTTATATGTGGCCTTCCATTGTCTTTGCTGGATGTATATTGTCTTGTGATCATCTCCTAGCCACTTTTCATGCACTACAGGTAGTAGTTTTTTGATGATCATGTTTTTGTATGCATCTTTGTTCACAACTGTTATTGGCTTTAGTTCTGGTGTGCCCTTGGGTCTGTTTTTGCTTTTCATGTGTGCCTGCACCATTTGAACAAAAGGCCACATTCTATCTTCCCATCAAAACTGCATTCACCTATCTCATTGAACCTAGGTCTGGCAAGTGCACATAAGAACATAACTTTCTCTATGAACCTTTTGCTCTTAGTTGTTCTGTATAGTTCTATTTCACCAGGTACCAGATAATATTTTTGGCTACCTTTGGTTATATAGAACCATTTATCATCTATGTGGATAATGTTGAATATTTCATCAAACCATGACTTTCTGCCATTGGCTCAACTTTGAGGTGTCATAAGCACCATTACAGCCTACTAATTTTGTTGTCAGGGGTTAAGAATGGCTTAATTGCATTTGAATGAGGCTTTATTTATCCCCTCTTGAGTAATCTTTGTACAGTTGATGCAGGAACACCCAAAGTAGTTGCAGTGCTTCTAATAGAACTCCTTTGATGGAATGGAAGGGCTGACAGTGTGGCCACGTCCACTAATTTGGGCTTCCTTCCACACCTTCCCTTTATGTTGGAGTTATGGTTGACAGGTTCTCCTGCAACCCTGCATGTTTGTGACACTTTCCATATCTTGTACTCTGTTCGATGAGAGATGCCAAAAGCATTCTTAGCATCTGTAAATCCACCTCGCTTGACCCTTCCATTGACTGTCCTTTGATTGAGGAAGTCCAGTACAGCTACACGATCTGCAGGTTTCAAGTTGGGCTTTTTGGTTGGCATTGGTGTTCTGATCTCTGACCTGGAACTGTGAGTTTGGTCTTGGACGGCTTGGAGATAGCAACCACATCAATATCCTTTGATGTTGGAAGGCTTCCAGATAGCAACCAGACCTAAACGCCCTCTATGATGATAAACTTTACCTGTTTAAAGGCCCTCAAATGCCCCCCTCGATGATGACAACAAGTCGGAGAGGTTTTTCTTATGTCTGAGAGGCGTGCACCATTTTTATACAAGTGTGAAATTTTTGGAATTATTCTGGCTCCAAAACTAGAAATTTGGCGCCATTATGCTGGCAGTGTAGCGTTTCTACGATTACCTACAGTGTATTCTCCATGTTTTCTTATGCGTAGTGGCTACAATGAACATATGTAATCCTTTGTATACAGTGATCCTTTGCATGTAATGGAATTGTTTTTTTCTACAGTGATCCTTTGTATATGAGGTTCGGTTATCCTATACCTTTTATTTTATTCATCTATAGTGTTTTTTACTTTATCTATAGTACACCTACATTTCTTCTTAAACTACTCAAAAAAGCTTAATGGATCATCTAAATAGATATAGAGGGAGTACTTACAAACACCATCCACTATTATTATAAATCGCTTTTCTTAGCTTTTCTAATAATCTCTTGAAAAAATCATTTTTAAAAAGCAAAGTAATAGGACATCCCAAGAACGTTTGACAACACTGTTTTTCGACTTATCATGCCTATCAGCCAATTTTTTCACCAAACATGTAACTTTTGCTTTCTCTTGCTGAACCGTGTAATAAAAAGAAAAAGTAAGGTTGAAGTTATTTTTCTGGATATATTGGTTGAAGTTAACGTAGATGATCATTTTAGCTATTTTTACGTACTCTGTATAATTTTTTATTTATTTTTTCTTTATTTTATTAATAAAATATATTTCAATTTTTTTTAAATTAGAAGAATAAAGCAATGCAGCCACTTCAGCCAAAACTTCATAAATTTGAACAAAATCAGCCAAATCAGGCTATTTTCGTGCTATATAAAACTGGCTCTCCTATTTGTCCAATCTTGAAACAAAAGGGGTACATCCATTTGAAGGCGCGCGGAGATGAGCCGAATTAGACTTCTTCAATCCATCCGCTCTTGCAAATCTAAGCTGCCGCAGTCAAATCTGTTAGTTTCATAGAAACCAGCAGGTTCATAACATCGACACAGGCTCGCTTGATCACTTTTCACCGACTCAATTCACAGTTTCATGCTATCGGGCTGGGGTTTTTGTCAGATTTGTTCGGTTGAGAGGTATGGTGCTTATGAATTTTCTCATAGAAGTGAAAATTTGATTTGGGTATATGGTTGGATATAAGAGCCTACATTCTTCAGACTACGTGGTTTGTGGTTCATCTAGTAGCGGAATTTCTGTTCATTTCGCTTGTTCGTATTTTAGTTCAGATTGATCTATTGTCTTTCCTGTAATAGAATATTGGGAGAACGTATATTCATCAGAGACAAGTTGATTGGTCTTATTGTTTGAAATTGAAGTGGGATTGGGGTTCCTTTTGAAATGGGTAAACCACTGTTTTATGAGATAATTGAGAAGCCAGCTACAAGTTGTATTATAGCAATATGCAGTGCAATCTGGCTTTATATACAGAAGAAAAACATTGGATATTCTCATGTGGGGTTGAGTTACGAGACTGCTCTGGAAGGCCATCACTGGAGGATAATAACATCTGCATTTTCACACATTAGTGTGCTTCATCTTGTTTTCAACATGAGTGCTCTTTGGAGCTTAGGAGTTGTTGAGAAGTTAGGGAATTTAGGTCTTGGAGTGGAGTATTACCTGCATTATACTCTGGTTTTGGTCATTCTGTCAGGTGTACTAGTCCTGGGGATGTATCATGTTCTCATTCAGAGGTTTAAATTTGAGTATTTCCGAAGAGTTACTGCTGTGGGGTATTCCTGTGTGGTTTTTGGGTGGATGACTATTCTGTCTGTTAAGCAGCCTTCATCAAAATTGGATCTTTTTGGGTTTCTTTCGCTTCCCATAAGTTTTGCACCATTTGAGTCGCTCATCTTAACCTCCATCATTGTTCCTCAAGCAAGTTTTCTCGGCCACTTATCTGGAATCATTGTCGGTTATTCAATTGCCTGGGGGTTGATTCATGGCATGAACAATTATTGGGCAATTACAATGCTGGGGTGGATAATAGTTGTGTTTGCTTTCAGTTTGAAGAAATCTGGTGCGATAGATTTCAACTTTCTTGAGGTTGAGACCATCACCGACAATTCACTGCCTTCTTCTGTGCGCTTCCTTGGTGCTGGTAATGGGAGAACTTTACAAATGGCCGCATTACCAGATGCTGGCCCTGTTCTTGTATAGCCACTGTTTAGTTATTTTTCACGTTGTGGGATATAGTTAAGAACTGCACTGTACTTATTTGATGTATGCATATGTATTGGGTGTTATGTATGTTGAAAGGTTTATATTTTGAACTATGATTATTCTTAAATTACCTAGCATTCAAGAGTTTCTCCCTGACATTACCCTCCCTTTCTCTATGTGTTAGTTTACACCCTACTCTAAAATGTATTAAGCAGCAGACTAGCAACTATGGGGTATGCTTGGCTTATGAGAGACAGGTGGAACTAGACATAAAAAACTTTGCAGCATTTGTAGATCACAAATTGTATCTTCCTCCACCATGCCATCATATTGCTTGTTGCTAATCAACAGCCACTTTGGATCAGCTTTAGAATGCGATATACTGATTAGGCAATTGTATTTGAAATTCACTATGCATTTCCTTTCAATATATGTTTGTTTGGAATCATAATAAATGAGATCCAACTAACCCCAACTTGCTTGGTCAGTTGGTTGGATGCCTTTGGAAGAAATGGGAAAGTGATGGGATATTATGTTTGTTTGGTGCAGAAAAACACATAACTTGTTTCAGGTTGATTATTATTGGATGAAGCTGAAACCAAACCCTTCTACATAATATCAATACTTTGTGTTCATTTTCTCGCTCAAGAGTACATTGCAGCAAAACCGTCAAATTAGAAGCATTCCGGATCTAATATCCCTTACAATTTATGTTGTTCATCGCATTCCTCTCTGGCCTGCCAAACCTGCCCAATTCACTTTGTCGCTCACCTTTTCATCTCAATCTCTTCAACGATCAAAGGTATGCAATTTATGGCTTCATTCGTTCCATCTCATCTCACAAAACATCAATTTTGTAGTGTTCCCTTTTCATCTTTTCATCAACATAATCTAAATCAGGTAGATCAGTTCCAGTTATGTCATGGACCTTTATTCTTAAGTTAACGAATACTGTTAAGTATTGTAGTCCAGATTATGCTTTTTATTTGCCCATTACATCCCATCTAATCTCAAAATCATCAAAAGTAAGCAATTCCATTACCCTCAAAGGGGGCGCAGCACTCTGTCTCGACTTCTTCACCAACCATCATCTTGACAAAGTTGACTGAATACTCGCTTTAGTTTCCAGTTTTCTTACAATTAGTTTAATTTTTTTAGTCTAGCTTATGTTTTAATAAGTTTTTTAGTTCATAAAAAATAAGATCGACGCTTTGCCTTTTCTCGGATAAGATGTTCATCATCATCTTGCTTTGCATAATATATCAATAAGGTCAATTCATCCTTCCTAATTCAAAGTTTCATGAATTCACAATAGGTTAAAATTACCTCAACACTACACTTTTTTTATTAGCTCATCTGCTGGCTAAAAATTGTTGACGTATTTGTGCAAAGGTGGTGGTTTATTTCACATTCTTTTCAGAATTTGCCCTAAATCGGAGTAAAATTGTTTGTGTATTCCAAAATAGTAATGTCATGTTTTTATTCCCTAAATAGGAGTAATTATTATTACGTTTTGTTAGTACAAAACTTTAAACATGACAATATTTTCCGAACTTGGCAGTAAAACTCCTATTTAGAAAATGTAAACATGACAATCCTATTTTGAAATTCCAAAATGTGTTTACTCCTATTTCAGGAATTTCCCCCATTCTTTTCTATTTGTTTCTATCTATCATTCTAGAATACCTTATTACATTTCATTGCTTTTATATACGTATAGTATATAAACATCTTCATCTTGGCATTGGAGTTGATGGATGGCAGTATGCAACACCATAAATTCATCGAAATTCATTGTTTGATGTTGATGGGGTTATGGGACCAGGCCCAGAGCCTAATCGGCCCAGGCCCCGAACTTGGACCAACGGGCCCAAGCCCAGCAACCTAGAGCTCGAGTAGGCCCAACCAATCAGGGCAATCAAGGAGCGGAAGCTCAAGAGAGCCTGTCGACCAACCCAGTGGGGAGCCTGCCTTCCAGCCCAGTGGGGAGCCTGCCTTCCAGCCCAGTGGGGAGCCTGCCTTCCAGCCTAGCCAGGAGCCTGCCGACCACCAGCCCCGCTGGGAGCCTGCGATCCAGCCCAACTGGGAGCCTGCGGTCCAGCCCAGGTGGGAGCCTGCCTCCAGCCCAACGGGGAGCCTGCCTTCCAGCCTACCCGGGAGCCTGCCTTCCAGCCTACCCGGGAGTCTGCCTCTAGCTCGGTCAGAAGCCTCCCTCCAGCCTAGCGGGAAGCCCACCGTCCAGTCCAGCAGGAGGGAGCTCAAGCGTCCAGCCTGCCAGCCAGGCTGACCTGCCAGCCAGGAAGAGTAACGGCCAACAATCAATGCGCGACTTAATTATGTGTTTAATTCCGTATTAATGTTGTAATTAATTTAGTCATTATTATGTTCGGCAGTTACCATTTGTAATCGCCTATAAAAGGCAATTCGAATTTCAAATACAGATATGCTATTTCTGGCTAACTTTCCATATTCGTACTTTCCTAATTCCTGCTTGAGTGTTCTTACGTAGCTTTCCTAAAAGCCTACAAGCGTCCTATTTTGGACCAACATTGGTGCTTTCATTGAGAGCCTCTATTGTCTCTCACATAACTTGAGTAGGAATCACACAGGAAGATGGCCGGAATCTCGTCTCGACGTGACCATGTCTCAGTCCACACCGAGGAGTCCGCCCGGTCTGGCCGCCAGCGTGCCCTCGACAACCATGCACAGGGCAGGAGGGCGGCGCGCCAAGGCGACCTTCGGAACCAATTATCAGGCCACGACGACCTAAGGGCGACGCTCAACCACACCCAAGGTGAGCGCTCGGTCCGCAGCCGGGGGGGGGAGGCCGACGTCATGCTCCGCGTATGGACCCGGCTCGACTCAATGCCGGGGTGGAAGCCCTGCAAGAGGCAACTCGGGTTCTGGGGACCTTGGCTCAAAATTTCCAACAGATGGTGTCTGGCGGAAATGTGGATGAGCCTGCCCGTCAACAGACGCCAGTGGATGTGGAGGTGTCCTCCAGGCGGCGTGATGAGCGACGCTCTGGATCCATTCCCATTGCCTAACATCGACCAACTAGTCGATGGGACGGCCGGATGTGAGCTCCTTAGCTTCATGGACGCTTTTCGAGGATACCATCAGATTTTCATGCATGAAGAAGATGCGGAGAAGACCTCATTCGTCACCCCAGAGGGGATTTTTTGTTATCTTGTCATGGCCTTCGGGCTGAAGAACTCTGGGGCGACGTACACGAGGATGGTGGCCAAGGTATTCCGGAAGGTGCTCGGAAGGAACATGGAGGCGTATGTTGACGACATGATCGTCAAGAGCACCCGAGCATCCGATCATGCAGATGATTTGGCAGAGATCTTCGGGATCATGAAGGCAGTCCGTCTGCGCCTGAACCCGAAGAAATGTACCTTTGCCGTCCAAGGAGGCAAGTTCCTGGGGTACATGGTCACACGGAGGGGGATTGAGCCAAATCCTGAGAAGGTAAGGGCAATACTTGACATGGAACCTCCGAGGTCGGTGAAAGAAGTCCAGATTCTCACCGGCCGGCTAGCAGCCCTTGGACGTTTCATGTCCAAGTCCGTCGAGAAGTCCCTACCCTTCTTCCAGGTCCTAAAGAAACAAAATGGTTTCGTCAGGAATGATGAGTGTCAGCGAGCCTTCGACGACCTGAAGAAGTACCTCCTCTCTGAGCCTTTACTCAGCAAGCCGGAGAGGGGGGAGACGTTAATCCTTTATCTTGGGGTTTCCCAAGGTGCAATCAGTTCCGTGCTGGTTCGCGAGGAGGAAGGCGTTTAGCGTCCCGTCTACTATGTGAGCAAGACCCTCCAGAATGCTAAGCTCCGGTACACCCCGCTCGAGAAGACAATATATGCCGCCTACATCACCGCCAAGAAGTTGACACACTACTTCCAAGCGCACCCGACCAGAATCCTGTCAGACCAACCCCTAGGTGCCGCTCTGAGGGCGCCCGGCACAACCCGGGTAGTGAAGTGGTCGATGCTCCTCAACCAATACGAGGTTGACTTCCGGCCTCGGACGTCCATCAAAGGCCAGGCTCTGGCTGATTTCATTGTGGAATGCACGGCCCGAGAAGTGGCAGATAGGCAACAGGAGAGCAATGAACAATGGTGGACTCTAGCGACTGATGGGTCGGCAGGAGCCAAGGGATGCGGGGGCGGAATCGTCCTCATCTCACCCGAGGGATTCCGAGCCTACTATGCCTACCGCTATCTTTTCAAAGTCTCCAACAATGAGGTGGAGTACGAGGCCCTACTGTCTGGGCTATGATTGGCAGCCGTCATGGGAGCAGAGTGGATAACGGTGAAATGTGACTCCCGCCTGGTGGTTTCACAGGTCAAAGGTGAGTTCGAAGTGAAGGAAGAAAGAATGATGAAGTATCGAGATGTTGTTCGGGAGTTGCTCGGGTTGTTCAAGCAAGCAGAGTTGATCTGCATCCCGAGAAATCAAAACTCCGATGCAGACCTCCTCTCAAAGCTATCCCAAGGGTTACCTGAACATATATCGAGAATTGCACACATTGAAGAGATGACGACCTCAAGCATATCAGCCTCACCGTCCATTGACGTCCTTCCCCTGCAACCAGTCGTCTGGTGTTGGGTGGATGACCTCCTGCGCTACATAGCCGATGGGACGCTCCCCGAGAAAGAAGAGGAGGCAAGGTTAGTCCGGCGACGAGCTCCGGGCTACGTCGTCTTGGATGGGACGATGTACAAGAGGTCCTACAATGGGACCTTGCTAAAGTGTTTACGCCCACATGAGGCGGAAATGATCGTCTCTGAACTCCATGGGGGCGTATGCTCCGCCCATCAGGGGGCAGGCACGTTAGCTAGGAAGGTCGTCCTCCAGGGGTACTTTTGGCCAACAATAATGAAGGATTGCGCTGACTATGCAAGGAAATGCAAGACATGCCAGAAGTTCCAGAAGAGCCCCGGCCGACCAGCAATGATGTACACACCGATCAGCACCGCCCTTCCATTCACAAGATGGGGTGTCGACCTGGTCGGTCCCTTACCAACCGGGTCGAGAAACCGGAAGTTTGTCATCGTCGCGGTGGACTACTTTACGAAGTGGGTTGAGGCCGAGCCGCTTGCCAGCATCACACATCTCCAATGTAAGATGTTCATATGGAAGAAT